GGGTCAGTGGTGGGCCGTCGCACGTGTCTACATATCATAGGCGCCTATCTAACTCACTGATGAGCTGACACGTGTTTCCTCTGACCAATCAGAATTTTACACGTGAAAATTTCCCATTGGTCCGAGCTGTTAACGGGTTGTCGGATCCAAGACCCGACCTGATAGCTTAACAGCATCCCGTTACGGTGGATGCCACATGTCGGTCACCGTTGATGAAAGCACTTCTATGACGCGCGATTTATCGTCATGGAAGTGGACACTTCCGTGATGATAATTTTGGTAATGTCATGGAACACTTCTACGACAACACATGTATGACTATCTTGATTCTGTCATAAAACCGTCATGGATGTACATGCATGACAAAAAACGGGACCTACCATGACAAACACGTATCATCATGGAAGTGTATTTTTTTGTAGTGCAGGGAGCGGGAGGAGAGAAGTCAATGCGGGACCCACCCGTCAGCGTCTCTAGGCCGGGCCCGCGTACTGTAAGTGGAAGTATACTTTCTATTATACGCTTTCCTTATATGAAAGTGTACCTCCTTTGTTATTTGGCCAAGAATGAGTTTTCACTTCTTGAAAAACGTATTCTCTGCATTTACGCTTTCTGTTTTTCAGTGAGGGGCTGGTTTGTGAAGGTTTTATTTATAGATGGGTACCTGGTAGAAAAACTATTACAACTTTTTGCTCGTAGCTCCGATTGAGGTGATTCCAAAGCCCACGTCTTCGTCTCGTGGAGCCCGTTTTGTTGGTATCATTCTCATAATGTTTTCACACAGTGAAAATGACCATTTTGCCCTTGCTCATAAACAGCCCCCTCCGGGAGAGAACTGTTTCCGACGAATCTTTCCGCGATCCTTCTGCACTTCTCCCCGATGGTTCCTTCGTCCCCAGGCAAGCCACGACAGCCACTTGCATGATGGATTTGCAGTAGCCATGGTTTCCACTTGAATTTTTAAATGTTTGCTTAGTTACTACTAACGTTGCTATTCCGGCTATGCTTGTCATCATGCTATGCTTTTATCCACTCTGTTAGTTATATGGTTACTTGCTAGTAGTGTTATTCTCGTATTTCATGCTGGTACTTATGTCATGCTAATGATAGTGATGTTCATCTGATACATGATTATCGTTAGTTATGAAGAGTATCTGTGATATGCATGATCATTGATATGCCATGTTCATTTGCATCAAGTAGTCTAAGTGTTGCATTATTATTTATGCTAATGATTCATCTGGTTATGTTGCTCATCCATGCTTATGTTAATATCATGCTCATGTGCATTATTATCTCATCATGTTATTATGACTCAGCATCTTTTGCATTCAAGTTTAACCGGACATTAATTAAACTTGAACACTTGTTGGTTGAGTCATAGTGCCATTGAAATCAAACTGACCAGTGCAGTCACACTTGCCTTTATGGGGGGTCCTAACCGGGTCTATTGTCGTGCCTCTCGCCGGTGCCTCCAATTAGGGAAGGTTATGGGCGCGCGCTACCCTAATCAGGTAGGCGGGCATAAGCCTTGTGTGCCCGTGTAGTATTGAGCTCATGTCCCCATTTGGGACCATTTTGTTTTGCCATGACGGTGGCCGTTGGATGTCACGCGGTGACATCGGGGCCACCCATGACTTAGCCCAAAGGGGAGTTTGTCGGAGTGGCTGGGAGAGTGTCATGGCAATAGATCGGTTTTGTTGGAACACTGTTGGCCCACCCAAATGGTAGCATGAGGCCTTGGGTTCCGTGGTGTGGGTACAGTGTGCTAACCTCTGGAGAGTGTATAATCTATTGATAGCCGCGCCCGCGGATATGGGCCCAGTTCGTAGTAGGTCACAATATGGGTCAATAGTAATAATAACCTAATTAGATGAACAACCCTGGTTCGATGATGAAAGAAGTTGGTTGATCTTTATGTGATCATGAGAGGATCACAATGGTATCGTGGATACCAAAGTTGGATGATATTTCTAGTGTCATGTGGTAAACCCAGGTAAAGATCAAGCTCCTTGTGTTCATATGATCACTAGGGTATTGTTAATACCAGGCTTGGTTGGTCCTGAGATGATCGTGTGATGCTCAAGTGGGTAAGTTGAATGCTAGTATCATCTTGTGCATATCATGAGTAACATTGCCATGCTCATTTCATGTGATGCTAGATGTGTTATGTTCAACATGTTCATGCAATGATTATAAGGTTCTAGTAGTATCATGTTCATCATTGCTTTAACCTATAAATGCCATGCTGTTGTTTGTCTTGATTGCTTTGGTTGTTGTGAGCTTGCAAGTACATTCAATGTACTGACCTGACGTGTCATGCCAGTTTGCAGGTCATGTCTTGTCTGCCTACTTGTTTGCCGTGGATCCCGAGTATGCGAGCTAGGATAAGCGTTCCAGCCAGAGTCCCTGCAGAGTGGAGTCCATCGCTATGGTCGTGTTTCCGCTGCTAGAATTTATTCCGCTGCTATGAGTTGTTCTGCTGCTTGCATAGAGCAACCTTGGCAGGCGTAGTGTCGCCGTGCCGATGTAATCCCCTTATATCCATATTGATTATAATAAAGAGCTGATTTGTTCTATGCCAATCAGTGTCGTATTCCAGAGACTTGCCTCGGTCTCTGGGCTGGAATACGGGGCGTGTGGTGCCACAATGCCCTAAGAAAGAAATTTTAACTCTGAGTGATGGGCCTCACATATGACCTAATGATCAACGTAAACTTTGTTGAGTCTTTTCTTTATTTGAAAAGCCACCCATATATTAAAACTTAAAATAGTAGAGTACAATCATTCCTTACAGCATTCGCCACGCAGGGTGAAAAACTATTACAGAAAAAATCATTAGACCTATTATCAAAACTATACTTCGCTATTTGGTGAGTTCCCACATCGGATTTTAGTGCCACGTGGACCTGATCTGCAGGCCCAGCATGTCAGAAATCTGTTTAAATTGGTTCAAACCAGTCATTAGTGTTTATCGAAAAAAGTAACACATAAACCGTGGTTTTTTGTCACCGTAACAGAAAGTGGTGGCATAATCGGATTGAAGCCGGGAATGTGCTAGTTTTTTTTTGTTTTTTTTGCAATTCGCTCAGAATTCATCCTATACCTCTTGGACAGTGGGACACATATCTTTGAAAAGACACATGGTTTACAGTATTGTATTGTCCTCCCTTTTTTTTCCTTTTTTGCCATGGAGTTCTACCCGATAAAGCCAGTGGCAAGTACCCTCAAAACTGTATTGTCTTTTCATGGCCAGCAAAGGTTTTCAATCGTCCTAGTAGTGGTGGTTTGCCTTTCTGTTGCACTACACAAAAGTTTCATTGCTGGTCTTGCATTAAACCGCATTTACATTAGTGTTTTGACCATTTGGACTTGAGCACCGGAGCCCAGAGCACTGATGCCCAAGAACTCCATGACTTGTCAGATTATTTCCGGTTTCGTTACTCAAAAAGTGTATAAACGAGGCACTCCTATGCCGGGTGCTGTGCCGCGGGCAACGCCACGTGAAAGAATCGGTCACCGAACAACGGCCACCTACCAACCCGAGAAGGGAAGTAAAGATCCGCAATCAAAATCACGATAAGCGAAAAACGCGCAGACCACGGTCCACCCCCAACTCATCGCGAAGAAAAACGGCAACGGAGCAGATCGTGTAGGTGGCTATCACTGTCACAGGCTCGGTGTCGCCCTCACCCCCCATGTTTGCCTGTCGCTTACCACGGCCAACTTAATGGGCACGACGGATCAGATCAGGCGACACAACCGTCTTCTTTTCCTCTCTTCTTTTGTGAATGAGGCGAGACAACTGTGTGGTCCTGCACTGCACTAGTCGGTGCCATCCGTACTCGCACATTACTTGTTTAGCTGATTGGATTAGATTCGTCTGAATGAGGCTAGCAAAGTAGCAAAGGAATATATTCTGACTTCGCACAAATTTCAGATCAATGCTCTCCTCTCCTCGAACAGCACAGACCGGATCTGGTGTCTGCTACTCCTACTCTGACCTCCGCAAGAGAATGAAAAAGATCAGCCAAGTGGGCTTCATTTTTTCTGGACATACTGTTCTCTAGTCCTAGGATTTTTTCTAGTCCCTAAGTCTAAAAAAAAACTTTCAAGGAGTGCTTCTAAGGACTTTTAGCAAATGTTTAGTTTGCTAGGGACTTTTTTTAGTCCCAACATAAAAAAGTCCCTGGAACCAAACACCCCCCGAACCATGTTGGTATTTCTGCATTTGGGCAGTCCAGCCTTACAAGCCACGCTGAACAAGAATGAACAGAGTAAGATTACTGGCTACGGTGCAATCTGACATAGTACTAAACTTTCTATACATATAAGCACAAGGCTCCTCCAATTGTCATGCACCTACCTCGGCATAATTAGATTACTAAGACAGCTAGTGCTACAACAAAATTAGGAAGTGGTCAAGGACAGTGACATTAGGTTCATGCCAGTACAAGCATCATCCTGATCAAGACAACTTAGCTCTGAATGGCTTCATCAAGACAGCTCACTGTTCAAATCAGGCAGCTCACTGTTGCTTCACTCAAAACACATCAACCCGGAACATATACGGAAACACCTGAAGGCACTCAACCATCCAGTGTCCCAGGATTCGCATGCCGTTCACAGACCACACAAACAACAACGGACTGAAGAATGCAAACATTGGACATAACATGACCCACTCAAATTGCATATGCATTACGCCCCCAAAACGGTATTGGTATATATATTTACATGTACCTGATATTCACCCATAGCTAGCTCCGATCGAACGAACTTCGACCTTCCTGGCCGGCTAGAGCAGGATCATAACAGCGACATAGCTAAATGATCAGACAGTCTCACCATATAAAACGGTTCAGCTATGCCCGCGATATCTGCGGTACACATAAACTGATACCACAATTTCACCTCAGCAACCTCAGTTCCGTGGCTATCCTACTCTAGTTTACACAATTCAGCTGCACAAACTTACCGAGCATGGAACCAGAAGAGTTTCATCCATTGCAGATGGCATTGAGGAGCACATGCCCCAGCATGAGGTCCACGAAGTACTGGTGGCCGATCTTGCCGTCCCGCCATACCAACTTTGCCGGTGCGCGCCCGTAGTGCACGCCATCGTTGCAACGGTTGTCGTAGTGCCATGGGAACGTCATGTCGAAGTTGTCTATCACCCCGCCTGTGAGCACGCCATGCTGCCTCATCTTCTCCACGAGCACACCATTGAATAGCTCCATCTTGTTTGGATTGAATGCCAGGTCCCGAGCATACCCGCCAGTCGCGACCGTCGTCCGGTAGAACACCCTTGGCACGGCAAGCCCACGCAACCTCACTTTAGCCATGACGCCGGCCCAGAACTGCGCGGCATACTCGGTGGCCTGAACGTAAGCGCGGACACTGCTCCAGTAGCACCCATCATGGAGGCCAGAGTTGAGGATGACAACATCGGGGACACGATCATCGCCCACAAAGTATGACCGGACAAGCTGCCGGAACCCCTTGTGCCGGAGGGAATGCAGGCCGAGATAGTTCATGCTCATGTTCCAGTGTCCGTTGAAGATGCTTGTGATCCGCAGGGTGCCCGGCTCGCCACTGGGATTTGTGAACACGGCGTCAAAGCGGCGTGTCACTGCGGATGTGTCCTCAACGCCAAGAACGAAAGTCAGGAGGTTGCGGATGGTGTCGACATGGTTGGAATCGCCCCAGAAGAAGAGCCACTTGCCGTCAAGGCACCGCCACGCCGCGTCGGCGGTGAAGAGCTTGAACGAGCAGTGCGCCGAGTAAACCCATCCGTTGCTCTCCAGCGCGCCCAGTGGCCCGTCGCACCACGGTGCCTCGCACGGGTGCTCCGGCCCCAGGCACCGGTAGCGGCCGGCGTCGTCCACATCCTCGCACTTGTCGTTCCTGGCGAGCCGCGTCCACCGGCCGGACCAGACGTCGCGCGCGAAGTCGGCGGCCCGGCAAGTCTCCAGTGCGGGGAGCGACGCGTTGCCCGGCCGGAACAGTAGAGGAATGCGGCGGAGCTCGACGCGGTACTTGAACCTCGCGGAGGAGAACTTGAGGCCCTCGAAGCTGCGGAAGAGGAGGACGATGGTGAGGTGGAACTCCCCCGCGGCGAAGCGGGGCGCAACCTGGAGGCGGAAAGTGTAGGAGCCGTCGCCGTTGTCCACCACGGGGGGGCGCGACTTCCACGCCTCCCCAGAGAGATCAATCTCGAAGAAGTCCCCGCCGAGGCAGCGCCGCAGGACGGTGCCGTCCAGCGCCCAGAACGTGAACTCGTGAATCTCGGTGGCGCTCAGCTTGGTGACGCCCCCCGCCGCCGCGGCGCCGTCAAGAGCCGGGACGGAGATGTTGACCGTGCGGGCGTCGCGGCACGGCGAGCCCCCGGGTGTGAGCCAGCGGGCGAGGAGGTCGCCGGTGAAGTTGGTGGGGTTGGGCACGGAGAGCCAGGAGGGCGGGGCGCTATCGGCGCGGCCGCCGCCGAGGACGTCCTCGGCGAAGCTGGTGGGGTCGGGAACAGAGGGCCAAGAAGGCGGGGCGCTCTCGGCGGGGCCAGCGCCGAGGTAATGCTGGTACTGGTGGCGCAGCCGGCGGTCGGCGCCAGCGCCGGAGAGGAAGGCGTCGACGGCGAAAAGGAAGACGACGCCGAGGAAGGACGCGAGCGCGAGCTTGGCGGCGGAGCGGACGCCGCCGCCGCCGGGCTTCTTGGGGTCCCCGGCGGCGCAGGGGGGTAGCTTGCCCCCGGCGACGTCGGTCTTCTTGGGGTCCCCGGCGGCGCGTGGCCCGTGGGGCGGCGGGAGGAGTGCCGACATTGCCGGGCCGGGGGGGCTACTTCCGGCTCGTTGTGGTGTGGCCACGCATGGGTCCGCGTGTGCGGGCGAGGTGCTCGCGAGGGGAAAAAGGGGCGCCGGTTTCGTTTTGGTTAGGGGGGCGGTGGTGCGCTGCGGAATGCGGAGGATTGATTGGGTTTTTTGGGACGGAGGCGACACGAGCCAGGTGAACGTGCGAATTGGATCTTCTGTTCCGCTTGCGCCACAAAATGCATATGCTTTTCGGGGTTTTTATTTGGAGCCGTCGGATGGACATGGGACTGAGATTTTTCCTTTTTTTTTTATGCAGAACGTTATACTCCCTCAGTATCAAAATATAAGTCGTTTTGTAGGCTAGTTTAGCCTAAAAATGTCTTATATTTTGGTATAGATGTAGTATTTGCAGAGAGAAAATCTTGTGACTTGTTTGCGCACGTTCAGCTCATGGTTAGAATGAGATGTCTAAATTTAGTTGTGTGTTTGTCCCTTCGTCGTAACCGTGACTTAACATGTTTGGTTAGGTGGGTATACGTGAAATACTCCCTCTGTGTCAAAATATATATTTACAAAAAAAATCTGACTCTTATATTTTGATACGCAGGAATTATGTCACACGCTTTGTATGTTCTTGCTAGTTTTTTCTGTACATTTTGTGATACCCAAGATTTCTCAAGAGTTTGTTGTGATACTGTTAGACACAACCAACTGATGCCACAATCTATCTCACATTGTCTTCGCTTCAAACACCATACCCATGTAGAACGATGGTGTCCGCCTCTCTCAAATAAACTAATGTTTTGCCCTAACAGCCTAGCCCTATTGGGTAATCAGATTTGAATATTGCATAAGCAATACTGATCACAGGAGGATTGACAATGAGATGTTACTGGGTGAGTGTCAGGTCCATCTAACAATGGTATGACAAAGCCGGGATAGCCAACGATGTCAGATGAGAAGTCGAAATGGAAGCAGTAGTTGAGAAGGTGTGGCCGGGTAGGAAAAGCACAAAACGACAAGGTAGCATATTGTACATCTAAGATTTTAGCTTAATTTGTGTACCACGGTCTCGATCCATCTGCTCTCTATCTTTCTACTACTTATAAAACCTTTCTATTATTTATAAAAACACAAGTTTGGTGAATGCAAATGATCCGAGCCATCCAACCACCTATATCCAACATCCCAAGCTGCTCTAATGATGTATTCGTTGCATCATCAATAATTTGGAAACATGTTAATCGCATTACTTATAATTTGAAAATACACTAATTGCATTCGAAATAATTAATTTCGGAATCAACATGAATTGTGGTTAATCTTGAAAACGATATTGCTGCCAAATTGGACGTGTGTTGCATGTACACGGTTACTTGTTGTCCCAGAGGCACGAAGAAACGAAAATCATAAAACAATATCAACACTAGGTGTGTGTAGTATGGCATGAAAGTTAGCCCCTACTTTCAGTTAACACATCAAGAAATATGGCTTGGGGATTAAATGGATTGTTGAGGCTACCCCGAAAGGTCTCATGTCAAAGGGGTGGTTCCATAATCGATTGGTTCCTAGCACAACCAAGGAGGGAGGTCCTTTATGAAGTCGGTTGCTCAACCAATACCAACTTATCATGGGGGTGTTTAAGCTACCATTTTCGGTTTGTGATGATCTCAACAAAATGGCGAGAAATTTTATCGGGGCTCACAGAAGGGTAAACGGAAAGTTCAGTGGAAAGCCTGAAATATTTCCTACTGCCAAAATGTAAGGGAAGGGTTGGCTTCAGGGATATTCGCATGTTTAACCAGGCGTTGTTAGCAAGGCAAGCATGGAGATTGCTTGTGTAACCGTAGAGCTTGTGTGCACGGGTTTTGAAAGCCCGCTACTACCCTAATGGCAACCTCGAGGGCACCGTGTTTTCTGGCAATACTTCCTCTTCTTGGACGACGATTTGTCATGGACGACACTTACTAAAGAAAGGCTTGATTTGGAGAATACGGAATGGAAGGAGGGTGCGGGTGTTGAGAGATAATTGGATCTCGGATCGCATTCATATAAACATGTATCTGCACAGGGGAGATGTAGGGTCCACTTTTATCTCTAATCTTCTCAATGAAAATGGTGCATGAAGGTTAGATATGTTGCAATAATCTTTTCTACCATGTGATGTTGACGAGATCGTGAAAATTAGAACCTCACCACGGCTAGAAGATGACACTCTCCTGCGGGGGCTAAAAATTGGGCGTGTTTAGTGTGAAAGGTGCATATGATTTGTCTCTAGGTGAAGCTTACCGAGGCGATGCAGTGGGGTCAGCTACTATTCTTGATGGCTCATGGGCTTGCTGGAGATGTTGCGACCTTGTGGTGTTCCCCCCACAGTATCCAACTTTGCATGGCAACTGGTCACAGATTCGCTTCAAACATCGAAGAATAAGCACAAACATGGGTTGGAAGTTACTACGGTTTACCCGCTTTGTGGCACTGGGGTGGAAGACAACTATCATCCATTTTGTCAATGCCCTCTCACAAGAGATTTATGGTGTTCCATGTCTTCGGTTTGGCAGGCCCCAACACTTAATAATGCTCGTCATACTGAAAAGGAGTGGTTTCTACATTTTCTCGACCCTCCGTCCGAACTCGAAAGAAGCATGGTCAATGTGATTTTCTGGCATTGTTGGCATATCCACAACAAAAATTATCCATTACAAAGTCCCACCGCATTTGCAAGTTTCAAAGGACTTCTTGTGCATCCATTTGGACTCTTTGCTAGCTGTAAAAAAATAGCATTTTGTTGATCCTTGACAGAGGGAATCATTGATACGATATCCCCTCCCTCCTACTTTGGAGCACGATAACGACACATGCACCTATGCCTTCTCGGAAGCCTTCCCCCTTAACGATGAAACTGAACTCTAATGGTTTATTTGTGATGGTTGGTCAAGCATGATCTGGAATGGTGTTAAGAGATATTATAATGGCCATTGTTTTCTCGGCGTGCAAAGTGCTTTTTCATGTAGGGATGCTTGAGGCGAAACTATGTACATGAATGGAGGGCCTCTCTTCTGCCCTAAGTAGAATTGATATGCACATTGTTGTGGAGGTGGGTTCTTTGGACATGGTAAAACTATTCCAGTCTAGCTACATCGACAAATCGGTTTATGCTTACCTTGTGAAGCAGATAAAGTATTTGATGAGTCTTTGTGAGTATTGCTCATGTTCGTAGATCACATAATAAAGTAGCAACTATTTAGCTATTTTTGCACGAGTAGAAGGTAAGACTATGACTTGGTTAGGTTCTGCTCCACCTAGTGCTTTGGAGATTGTTAACTCCAAATGTAATCCTATTGGGGGTCTGACTAATATAAGTTTCAATTGGCAAAAGAAAAAAAGGATTGTTCTACAAAGTTATAGGGTAAACCTGGGCCATGATTCATTTGTGAGAGTGGTTTTAAACTACTATCCAATCCATTAAGCTGCGAGAGAATGCCGCATCCTTGCACGTGCCACGTTGAACGCATGGGTTGGGCAGGAAAATAAAAGGGATAGAAGGAAAGAAGAAAAGTAATGTAAAAGTGGTTGAGCGAAATCCTCTCATCCCCACGCCCTCTGCCTCGAGCGCCTCCTGCTCCCTCTCCAGCGCCGCCACCCCTCCTCCCTCTATCCAGTGGCGTCGCCTCTCCTTCCCTGTATATGTATGTGGGGCACCTCGCCACCACCCCTCCTTCTCCTCCTACCAGTCGTTAACTCGCCACTGCAACCATCCCCAAGGCGAGCAAGCTATCTAGGCTAGGGTTCACCAGAAATAAAGGAAAAAATCCACATTCCCTCCACTATCTCCTATGTCCCGCTACCCGCCTACTCTTCCTCTCAGCATCATCTTCATCCTCGATGCAAAAGGATAGCGCAGACTGCAGGGGTGCCCTGCCACCGTGCTCCTTTTCGCTCATCCCCTTCCATTTGATTGGCCGATGATGGGAGGTCCTGTGGGGGTGGAGCAGCAAGGCCGAAGACCCAAGCGGAGGAAGCCTTATGAGGTAGAGGCGAGGTTGACGATATAGACTGCTCCCTGTTGAGTGCTCAGGCTTCTGAGGATGTCGTTATTCTTCCCGGAGGAGCGCTGCGCGCTGCCACCCCCATCTCGTTGCACCCGTCCGGCACCGAGCCTTCTCTTCCCCGCCATCATGGGAGATGCCCAGGAAGAAGAACCGAGGCGCCCCACCTCTAATTCATCATGCATGGTGCCTAGCAACTACTCATTCTCCGTGTCCTATGCTTGATAGGAGGGTTATGGCCGCCGGGTCTCCCCGACCCAACTATAACGACAAGTCAGATGAGACGCCATGGATTCACCGACTGGTACATCCTACAGACTCGTGTTGTTGCTCATGTCTTGATGTGTTTCCGATGTCGTGGCTCGCGGTAATCAGGCAGATCCTTGCCAACGCTTGGAGGTGGATGTCCTTAGTTAGAATAAAGCATGGACGTTGGCAACTTCACCAGCTCTGCACATCCCACGGCTTCTTTTTCTAAATTGTTTCCATAGAATAGGATGAGCACCTATATATAGTTCAGTTTGGGTTCATAAGGTGTGGCTTCCTCTCCAATGCATTCTCTTGACGCTTCATGTGATTCAACATTGATTTTTTTTGTTTCTATTGATTTACAGGTTATACTAGTGAAACTTTGGTTATGAAGGGGTGGCATATCTTGGCAGCTTAGTGGGGAGATACCCTGAGGCAAATGGAAAAGGTATATTCTCCTTTCCCTAATATTTATTAGAAACATTTTCTTGTTGTTATTTTGTTAGGATTATTGCTTCTCTTTTTTGTTTCCGGTAATTTCATTTTTGCATCTTTATGTTGTGCATCTTGGTATTTCGCTAACTATATTTTGCATCTTTGTCGTCAAGCATGTTCTTTTATCTTGCTGCCACATCAAGGAAACAAAGATTATTAAGGTGTTCTAATTTATAGTGAGGTTTAGTCCAGTACTATGATTTTGCAAGACGAATG